AGAATATGGTATGAAGAAGAATGTAGCGCATGTTTTGAAGATGGTTTTTGTGAGCCAAAACAAGATTACCTGATTCAAAGCGTTAATTGGCCTTGTTTATGCCGGAATCGCACCACTGATTCAGTAAGTTTTGAGTTTCAAATATTACCTGTTATTTCCTTTCTCTTTTGTTTTGGTTTTTAATATGTTAAATTCGGATTTAATATTCTAATTTTCATTATGCGACTTACCCTTATTTAATTAAATCATCACATGACAAGGAGATGTGAGAAATTCTTTCCAACATTTCATAACTATTTATACAAAATATGCTTTTAGTTGTAAATAATCACATTCGGCGGTATGTATTCTAGCTGAATGGATATAATTCTAGAATTAATATAAGAGTAGTAAAAAAGGAAAAACTTTACTTTAAATTCTCGAAATAGAAATATTTTAAATCGTATTCGCTATTGGTACTACCTTATACATCATATGTTACGAATTCATCTTCAAATTAATTATCTTTCTCTCTCAACATTTTCCCATTTTAAGGAAAACTGATAATTGAAATAGAAGTGTAATTTTTTTTAGATGTTCTCATTAAAAACATCCTCGGTTATCTGTAAATGTCCGTCCAAGGAAAGCTTTTAAAGTTAATCATTTAATCGTTGTTGAATTAAAATCATTTTTGCTTCAACAATCAAAAATCAACAATTATGGAATGTTTCACGAAAAAAAAATCGTCAATTCAGGAAACTACTATTTCATTAAATGTCTTTAAAATCACTGCAATCAAATTCAAAATTTCATTTTGAGCAAAGTCAGTAATTATTTTACTGTGTGAATAGTTACAGAATATTTATATTTGGTTGAAATAAAAGAATGCCGCATGCGTGATCTTCCAAAAAACCGGATCACTATCAGTTATTTTTTTTTTTTGTCCTTGCTACGTCAATGAAGGAAAAAGTTCTTTTCATAAATTTCATTCCAATACGTGCTGAATGGTAAATATAACTTAAAACCAATTTTTCCTTCAATCAAAAAATTAGCCAAACTATTCTTTTGCTAC